AACGGGTAGGTTGGAAGTCAAGTTTCCTGCAAAAAACCCCCCCACTCACAGGTGTGGACCTATATCTGACAAGGTACGACATCCTATGCGGTCGTCAGCGTCACAGACTTTCAAAACTGACGATACGATTCCCAGAAGGAGTGGCATCATCAAGTCCTGAAGAGGCCTCACTTAGCTAACTTCTAAATGATCGGTTCCCGGAGTCGACAATCCAACTGACCAACAACCCCCTCGACCCAAAGGATAGAAAAAGAAGTCAACCAGAAGAACCTCGTCCGAGTGTAGATTTCACGGGACACTAGTACAAGCAAAGCCGATACGCGCCCATTAATCTCTACTCTAAGTCTAAGGTGCACTCAAGCCCAGGTCCGGCTTCTCACTCAATCATAGAACACCCGTAACACCCCAACAGCAACAGATAATATCAATAAATAAGCCCCAATAGACAAGCAAACAAGCGCTAGGATTGACTCTCTTAGGGGACGTTGGATCCCACATGCATAAGGACTATCGCAGTCCTTAGCAGCCAGGGGACGTTGGATCCCCAGCAGACTCACATAGGGAACTATCGCTCTCCCCAGCAGAGTCGCCAGCTGTCGCTACTGCGAAAATCCGCGCCGGCTGACAGAAGAGTCGCCACCGTGCGTTATTTATCCCAACGGAGGGAAAGGAAATGCTCGAAGTAAACCTCGCAAAAAACGGGAAAAGGTATGGTCATCGCAACCAAAACCTGGGTTCGGGAGTCGGTTACGCAAGGGGAAGGTATTAGCACCCCTCACGTCCGTCGTACTCGACGGGATCCACGCTTGCTTGGGTTGTCTAAAGGATGCAAAACAATCTATCTACGGCTGCTAAATCTAAACGGAAGGGAATTGACTCGATAGAGCGTCGCACTCTACGCCTACGTATTCTCAAGAGAGAAAGTCAGAGTCAACGTAGTTCGGGACTACAGGGAAATTGGCTCGCCAAGACCTCGCGTCTTATGCCTACGTACTTCCACACTGCATGAAAGATCAGAGCTTTACGTAGTTCAGGCTAACTACAGCTAAACAGGGTATTCTCACACAGCAGTGAGAAAATCAACTGGCTTCAAAGGTTCGGGAACCTATGGGCAAAACTATGGCTTTGGTCTCAAATGCACTCGGGCAGGAGAGAAAAAGGGTAACATCAGTCGTCAGCGGGAAAGTCTCGATCGCACAGCAGCGAGAGAACAGAAAGTCAGTTGTTAGTGTGCTCGCTAGGATATCGCATCCTATGCCTACATATTCTCGTCTGGTACGAGAAATCAGAGCAGCTGTAGTTCGGCTACTTCGGGACCACAACTCAAATCTCGTTTTATTAACACTCTGAAAATGATTACAATGATTGAATACTGAAAATAAATCTCCTAGGAAATACTATCCTGTCCTATGCTGGAAAATCAAATGGAAAAGTCCCCTAACAAGTGGACCTCTAAACTATCCCTAAAAATGGTAAAAGAAAATCTATGAAAAAATGTCTATATAAAAAATATTGAATCTGCAAAGTAATATTTTTTATTATTTTTCTTACTATTTTTCTTCTATTCTTTTTTCATGTTTCTTTTTCAATCTTTTTTTCCAAAATGTTTTTCATACATTTTCTCTTATTTTTCTCTACATATTTTTTTCTCTTTTCTTTTACTATTTTTTTCAATATCTTTTCTTTTGATATTTTTTTCAATATTTTCTTTCATATTTTTTTCTTAAAATATTTTTCTCTATTTTTTCAAGTATTTTCTCAAGCCTTTTTTCTTTCTCTTTTTTTTTCAATATTTCTTTTTCCATTTCTTTTTTCATAAAACTATATATGAAAAATATAAAAGAAGAGAAAATAAGGGGAGGGGGTACACAGCCCAGCTGGGGGTGCAGCAGTAGAATCTGCAGAAAATGAATGGGCCCAGCCCAAAGCAATTCACACAAAAAACAAACAGAAACCCAGGGGGTGCGGATGTGAATCATGGTACGTTGCCAAAAACACACGTTGGGCTCAGGCCCAGAGTTCATCCAGAAAAAAACCTAGAGGGGGGGGGGTGTTGATCCAAAACGGAGGTGTAAGCTGAGATTAGTTCGCTGGGCCCAGAGGCCCATTAGCCATGTGAATCCAAACAACCAAACCCTAATTTGCTGGCACTGTTCACCTACACGAATGGCGCCGTTCTGTCCTTCTTCTCCCTCTCTCTCAATCTCCGATTCGCCTCCGTTTCTCAACCTTTCTCCCTTGTTCAACCTTCAATCTCTCATCATCTCTCTTCTTCTCCGTTCAACCAGAAGAAATACTAACAGAAATTATGAAGGTTCGTTGAAGATGATTCAGGTTCTTGATGAGAAAATTTCTGAACAAGCTTGATGAGCCGTGTTGTTGTGGTTGAAGATCTTGAAGTTCTGTTGAAGATTACTTGAAATCTAACTCGTGTCGGGATCCAGATGTTTGTTCTGATGATTTCTGGAGCTTGATGATTCTTGCATGTTCTTGTTGTTGGCGATTGCTCTTGAAAACGGTTGAGTATCGTTGCTGATGAAGTTCTTGCAAGCTCGATGAAGACTGGAATGGCTTCTTGAATGTTCTTGCGGTCTTGATGGATCTTGAAGGAAGATCTATGAAGAATTTGACGAACGGTTTTCTGGAGATTAAGATGAACGCAGATGAAGAATGTAATTGGAAGATGAAGATCTCGCGTCGGTTTGTTGAAAAGAAAAACTTCTGGAAAACGATCTTGTTGAAGATTGAGTTTCTGAGAAACGTTATGAGGATTTGCAGGTTCTGGATTTGGTTGATCATGGATGATGATGGATCGGAGAACAATCGGAGAAGATGATCGGTTGAGATGGAGGTTTCTGGGAATGAGATGAAGATTG